CGCTAAAATGGCGCTGGCGGCGGCGGGCGGCCCCGCGGGAGCCTCCGCGGAGCCCCGGGCGGCGGCAGGACGCGCTGCGCAGCCGACCGCCGCCTCGGCCCTGCGGCGCTGCCCGCCTCGCCCCGCATCGCTCTGGCAGCGGGTGTAARCAGAGCCCCTCCGGTTGCCCGCGGCGTGCGGGCAGGGCTGGCGGGCAGCCCGTGCGGGTTACCGCTGCGTGCCGCCGGTGGTGCCTCTGATACCGCGCTCGCAGCASTACCCGTGCGTCCCGCGTGGAGCAGGATGGAGCTCTTGCTTCATCCCCCCCGTGCTGGGGCCTCACTCCTTGCCTCGGTGACACCAGTGTCCTGCCGAGCCGCGTCCTCTCCTGCGGCTCCCCTAAGAACTTAAGGGGTGGCTGGTTTTGCAGTGCGGTTCCCTCCCCCTGTTCGGTTTGACTCTTGTTTTGGGGGCAGTTTTACCATTGTGATGGCTCCGTGTAAAGTGTGTTTTGGGGTTTTTTTTTTGGTTTTTTTTTTTAGCTCTACTTTTTTTTTTCTCTCTTAGATATATGTGTAATGGCACTGCTCAGACTAAGCCCTTAACAGCCGTCCTAGTGGATTTATGTGGTGCTGCTGAGTAGTAGCTGGGGGGGAAAAAAAAAAAGGCTTTGTGTTAATTGACATGCAGGAAGGGTGTAGGGCTTAAGAGGAACCTGAACTGAGCAAAATCACCTTAACTGCCATAATCTTCTGAATAAACATAGGTRCAGGATTGCGTTTCCCCTAATGAAAGGCTTTACATTCCCTTTCACCTATTCAAGTTCTTACCTCTTTTTAAGATGTGTCAACTGAGATCTTGTCTCACTTTCTTAAACTAGAGGGCTTTCTGTAATCCTGCGACTTCTATAGTAACTTGATCAGCTGCCTCAGCAGGAAACTCTCAATATCAAGAATTTCCTGCAGTGTCTTCGATATCGTTTTTTTTTTTCCCAAGGAGCGGCAATATTACTGCTCTCTGTCATGTCTCAGACTTCCTGTTATTTTGGGGTGATTGGCTTTTAAGCATCTCCATATTTTTTTATCAGGTATTCTTTATGTACTTTTGGGGGATTATGGATGCTGATCTGRTTGTTATTCTTGCTGTTGGACACCTGATCATTCTTCTAAATGATTAGACTGTTGTCTTTCTGTTAGCAAAAGCTGCCTGCTTCAGGTGCAGGTAGTAGAGCAGCCTAGGAAAGCTTAACTGTGGTGATTTAAGCTCTCTTTGGCAAAGAAAGAAATCTAGGCACTTAAACGAAAACTGGCTAATTTTTCTGTGGATAAGCAGTATTTCAGAAATTATTACAGGGGACTCCTGTGAGTTTATAGCTAAAAGATTGGGGATTTTGTCTCCATAGATGAGATCTTATCAGTCTCTCATGGGAGAGGAAGAATTTTAAGGTTTGCTTTTAAACAGTTTGGGAGAGGTTTAGATTTTGAGTGCTCTATTTAGTGGTACYACCACACATGCACACTGCAGACAGTCTGTCCCTCTCTATGGGAGGCCTTAGCAGAGGGAACTGCACCCCTAGTGTCCTGATCTCCAGCGCKGTCTTTTGGCAGATGTGTGGTCTGCTGTGTGGTCTTTTGGCAGATCACTGTCACATGAGAGATGCTATCTTGGTAGTGCYGCCTTATGTCTTTCTCTACGAGCTTCCTGTTCAAAACATCTGGCCATGGGTTGTGATAATCTTTTTGATTCTACTTCCTCACGTAAGGCTCCTTGAGGCTTGCCCTAGAAGTATGAGAAWGTAGTTTCACAGCTCATTCGGTGAGTGTTGGCTCAAAAGCAGTGCCTTATCCCTTCAGTTACACCAGTAAGTGGGCACAAACRGGGAGATAAATCATGGTGTGGCCCAACAGCCAGTTGTGTTGGCACACCATGGCATAACGTGGAAGGGCCATATCTGTTATGGTGACGTTACTGATTTAAAATCTAAGCAAAGTTTTTCCAAGGGGTGCTGTCTTATGAGTGTTTCTCTAGCAATCATGCTTGCTTAAACAGCTTCTCCCGCTTCTGAAGTTGCGACAGGTTATGTAAGCACATGTAGTGAACCAAATGCATGAATTAATCTAGATTTTAAAGTTGGGAAATTACTGTCCATGTGGGTTGTTTCTCCCAGTTTGGGCTGCTACAAGTACTTATGGGGTAGGAGGGAGGGAATAGGAGGAAGTAAGAACTCAATGAGCTGTTGCTGAAATGCTGGGGAATGCCAGCTGGTCCAGGTGTCTTGAGAGGAAACAGGGGGTTTAATACTGATCCCCTGAATTGCTGAGAAGAAGCTACACTGTTGAATTATTTGGGGCYGTTGTTAAACATAGCTTATTGCACATTACGTATTGCTAATCATTCTCTCTGATGTAACTTGATTAAAAATGTGTCCGTCTACTCAAAAATGTTGCTTTTAAGCATTTCTTGTATCAATGACTTATAAGTCATTATACTATTCAATTTTCTGGGGGAATGAGGAGGTAAGGAGTGGGGTAAAGGGTATGTGCTTTCAAAGATGCTTGCTAAATAGCTGAGAAATGATGCTGAAGTAGCATGAGAGCATGATCAGTTTATGCTACTGCTGCAGTTTGTGTCTTAAAATGACATTAGAAGAACTGTTTTGAGCTGCTGCATCTGCAGTGCAGCAAGGAAGGCTAGAGGTGAAAGGAGAGAAAATCTATTATAGAAAACAGCCTGAAAAAAAAATACAAGTATAGATGACTAAAGGGTATGTGACCTGAAAAATGACTGATAGATAATTGATGACGTATGAAGGGATTAGGAATGAATCCTAAAGATTCATAAGAGTATATGACGTGTATAAAGATGTTTAGGTGCTTATTAGAGGCAAGAAAGTAGTATATTCCTGTTCTGACCCTTAGAACAGGATTCAAATGGCTTGAAAAATCAAGCCATTGTCCAAGTTGAATGAATGCCTGAGATAATATACTTTACATGAAGGCAACCTATCCTTTTTGTTAGGGAAAGCATTTGGAGAACTTGAATTAGAGTGCTTATATGAGTTTTTGTATATACAAAGCTCTCGTGATGGTTAATTATTGTGAATGCYTCTTTATAAATGCTTTTGAGTTCTTCTAGAAGTCAAAGTAAACCCTACAAGTTTAGGAGTTGATGAGAACTATTTCTAAAAACTCTAAATTCTATATTTAGAACATATGCTTAGTTCTTGCCTAAATGACATTAAGAAAACTCTTGTGTTGTGAAGACGGTAATTGCYAAAAAATGTAATATTCAAAGGAGTACTTATGTACTAGAAGTTACCTTAGTTTTTTTCTGAATTGTATAGTGATCTATTCTATTACTCCTGATTTGTTGATCTCAGCAATGTTAATACTTTCTTTTAACAGTGAACTACCTCTTATGAAATAAAGAAATGGATGCAATGGATGAGACCTCTAAAAGAATCCTCCTGGAGCCATACCAGTATTTACTTCAACTACCAGGCAAGCTTCCTGATACTGAATTTGTTTTAATTTGAAAATTGTTTTTATGGCATCTTTGTATGAAGAAATGTAAGCCAAGAAGTTTAACCTTTCTTGATTTGTGGGTTTAGGAGTAATTATAAGCAACATGCTTCATTATGTATCCTCCGTTCCTCTTAGGCATACAGCCTTTTGAATTGTTTCTGCAGCTCCCAGGTCTGACTGTTCTGGAGCAGATAGTCCTCCAGTTACTCCGCAATCTGTTCAGAGCAGTTGACCAACTACTACTTAAAACTAATAAGAAAAAGTACTGAAGATTTGGTACCATTCTTGAATAAAACATAGTCACTGTTAAGGTTATCTGTTTGCTGWGCATCATGCTATGTGTTGTGGACTTGTTAAAATGGGGGGGAAGCTTATTTTCTTGCTGCAATTTGTTATTCATGTTTGTAGAGCCAGGGTGTTATTTCAGTCCTTGTGTGGTACCGGGCAAATAGAAATACTTTCACATGAAGTTTTCTGTCTGACAGTAGTGGTTTAGGTAGTATTGAGTAGCTAGCTTGATGGAGAACTAGTGCATGGGTATGCAGCTCAGGCTCTTGGAGTAAATAACGATGTGTGCTGTGGCTTCTACTTGTGCCCTTGAATAAGAAAGATCGTATAAGCTATCAAATTGATTATTTTTGTAGAAATAATAGTGGAACTACTTTGTGTCATTGGAGTGTGGCATTATTGATTTGTCTTACATTAGTGGAATTCAGGGAGGTAGAAAATACACTGAATACTATTTTGGTCAATTATTTTCTTCAATAGGAGGGCTRCCTCTCCCAGTTATCTGGAGGGTTATGAAGTAGCATAAAGAAATAGTCACAGTAATAAATGGCTCTTGCACTTCTGTAACAAGATGCATACATCAGCAAAGTGTCTAACTGGTTCGTGGTCAGTTTCATTATTTGCTTCTGCAAATAGAATGTGGGTTCTTGTCCACCCTAGAGATCAAAGTTGATTTGGTATTTGGCACTACTTGAGCTGAGGAATAGAAGGGAAGAGTAGGACAATAATGCTCCTTTTGAATGCCAGAAAGTTTGCTTTTTTGCTTCCTTGGATCATTTTCCATGTGGCCATTTTAAACTGGGTGATTTTGCTGGAATAATTTGCTTGGAATGAATCTGAGCTGTTCTRGATAGCTTTGGAAGGGCTAGACCTGAGGAAAAGCTAATAACACTCAAAGTTTGCACTAGAAAGTGTTATTACAAATACCTTTTGGAATATATATCCTCTGTATCTACTATTTTTAAGGTATTACAGCTACTGGAGGAGAAGAAGCTCAGCTTCCTAGTAGAAAATAGGCAATAGTATAGGCAATAATATTGAGACAAGAAGCTTCCACTGGTTTAAGCACTTGACTAAAAGCTCTCTGAAGTCTTTCACTTCAAATTTATTTGTAATATTTGTGTAACTRTTTGTATAACTTCTATGTTAAATTCCCTGTAATTTGAATTCAATCCTCACTACTCTAAACTGATGGTTTCACTGACTTCTATGAGAACTTACATCTGTGCTGGGTTAGYGTATGCAGGCTTCTTTTTGTTATACAAGCAGTGCTTTGCTCAGCAGCAAACTGAAATAACTTTCTCTCCTACCGAAGTGTTSTAAGTATGGTTGTCCACTCTGAGGTAAATTAACATGAGAGATCACTGTGTTCATACTTTGGAAAAATGTGAAAGAGTATTTATTTCTTTCTGTGCAAAACTGACACAATCTAAAAGGGGAAACTTCTAAGCTAAGCAGGTAAGTTGTGTGCATGCAGCAAGCTTGTTTTGAGTAACAGCACTAAGGGTTTGTGAAACTATTAAGAGTATCTGAAACCATATACAGGACTGGATTTTTTTTTACTGTTTCAGTCATTGGTTTTGTCCCCAGATTGGCTCTGCCAAGTACAGTATTAGCCAATTACTTATGTAAGTGGCCATCAGTATTAACACCAGTCTTTAGATGAAAAAGTAGAGAATATATTAGCAGTTTGTAATTAGGTCTTGTTAGATTAGCTCTGGCATCTCACCTGGATTCCACCCTGTCTAAAAGAAACAGTTTTCTTTCTCTCTTCCTTACACTTTGGCACTATCTTCCCACTTCTTAATAGGTGCTGTTTTTCAGCTTACTAAGCTAATGATTAGGTAGTATCAATCACCTCATCAAAAATCATCATAATCATCATCATCAAAAAAAAATGGTACAGTAAAGGTTAATCATCATCTCTCCTGGTAGTGAAGTGACAAAAGGGTGGGGGCAAAGCTGTTCTTGTTAGATGAGCGTGTTTGCTTATCTAACATCAACCTTGCTGTGGAACAGAGCTGTGAGGGTCTTCTGGAGAGTCTGAGGTATGTGGMTCTGAGGTTCGAGAGTAGTGCAGAAACTTATCTTGTAAGTTTCTTTTAAAAGGAAACTCTCTAAATGGCTCAAGCTGTAAACTTAAAGATTGTGATACGGGTCAAATGAGCTTTATTTAAAAAAAAAAAAGTGTTAGTTGGTGAGCACCGTTGGAAAATAAGTGTCTTCTAATACTCATTTGTATAAGAATGCAAGTTTAATATAAAAACATTAAGGAATTATACCCCAGTACAAGAGGAAGCTAGTTATTTTGCTCCTCATTAATGGTGTGAAACTTAACAGTAGCAGTTCATGCTGATATTTAAACAGTAAGCTTATTTGTTCTTTCTTTAACAGTATATTGATAGCAACATAATATCAAAACTAAGCTGTATTAACTACTAGTAGGGTAACTAATCTTTATTGACAGTATAGTGCTTAGGGAAGCATACATTTCAAAACAGTAATTTTCTTGTAGAATCTATTTGTGGTGAAACAATTCTCATGCCAGCTTATAGARTTGTCTCTTAGTCAGTGAAGTGCATTAAATGGGACTAACTTCCTCARTACCAGTGCCTTGGTCCATCTTGAACAGCCTTACTCATTCGTATACCCTTTATCTTGGAGTGGTTGAATGGGCAATGGTAGCTGGTTAAGCAGCACTAAAGAATATAAGGAGCTACACTGAAACTGAAGTGATCAACAGCTTGCTGTTGAAGAGGATAGCTCCTGATCCAAATCTGCTACCATTGCTGTTCACTGCTCTGACCTTGGTTATGCCCTTTGCTGGGCCTGTTTAGCTTCTTAAATGAAAAGATGAGTTTTCCTTTCTCAGCTCTTCATGCTGTGTCGATGAACTGAGCCAGCTCACTGAAGGAGTTGAGAGCAGTAGCAAGGTTGAGTTGATGCTTCTTGCTRAGTGACTGTACTTACTAAAATATATTGTTCATTTCAATAGCTACTGTTTGTTCACTCTTCTGATGTATCCTCTAGAAACGAGTGGAATCAACTGATGCAGCTGTTGGAAGGCGGTGGGGAGGGCAGGAACTCCTGAGGACAGTGTATGGTTATTTAGCCATGATGCTTATGCCCCTCAGGCACAAATGGAGTAATTACCCSTGGCACTTCAGAGGCCTTGACTCAGAATGATCTCCTGAGCAGAGGTAGCTGCAGCTGCAGGTCTTAGGACCCGCTCACTGGGCAAGAGGAAAATGGTGGCTCYTGCTTGCAGAAGCTGTGTCCTGGTGGAATATCGGTGTGAGTAAGCAAAGGAGCTGCAGGAGGGGCTTAGCACATCCCATCTGTTTGAGTGATAGCAAAGGAGATTGACAGGATCTCCTGCAAGACCCTGAGCACAGAGGAGCCTGAACCTCAACTGCAGTGAAGGAGGAGCAGGCAGTATGTTGTGCCCAGTAACAGAATGAGAGACAATGCACACAAACTGAAATAGAACAAATTCTACTTAAATGTTAAAAACTAAGGATAATTGAACACTGAAACAAGCTGCCCAGGGAGGTTATTAAGGCTGTATCTTTAAAGATTCACAAAACCTGACTGGGTATGGGCCTGAGTTTCACTTGATCCTTCGGACAGGGCACTTAAACTAGACAATTTCTAGAGATCTCTTTCAATCTTGCTGATTCTGAGAGTTAAGAGTTGGGAAGATCTTTCAGAACAAGTATCTTGCATAGCATTTCCAACTGCTTTCTCAATACTGTTTCTAAGTAGGAGAATCTTATCTAATCTCTTGGCATTACAACAGCAGGTCCAGCCTAACCTTCTGAGCTCAATAAGCCATTAATGAGTCTTAAAAGGGTTTAATAAACGAAGTTGAGTTGTATTCCCACTGTGACCTTAAACTGCTGCAAGCAGGAGCCCATTTAAAGGTACAAACCTGCCCTTTGCTTATGTTCCAACAGGTAACAAATGCCTGCTGCAGTGCTCCTGAAACCTTGCAGGGAGGTTGCACCAGGGAGTTGTTCCACTTTGCCCTAATCCATTGGAAGACAGAGCTAAACATGAAGAGTAGCTGAGGTACTAGACTGCTTGCTGTGCCAAAGGGGCACTGTTCCCTTTCCTCTGCCTCTCAGCATCTGCTGCTAACCCTGTGGTAACCCTGGCAGCCTCATTTCACACATAGACTCATCATGTGAAGTTGACCAAAAGCTAGCTCAGCAGATAGCAGAGAGGTTTTTTTGCTGGTTAATAGGTTGAGTAAGTTTAGTGAGGTGCTAATGAGGGCTGGGTTAATAGAAACACAGGGGAAAGGGCCTGAGAATTATCCCTTGTATGTATCCCCAGCAACTGCCCTAAGGATATAGAATTTGAAGTTAATTTAATGCAGCATTGGTGAAAGTTAGTCATCTGCCTGTTTGAACATGGAGGCTTTGGGGTTTTGGTCTGCACCCTTTCAGAAGACTTGTGTATTTATGCTGGTTTTAGAGAAACAAGTCTYATCTCTCCAAAGAGGTGGGAGGAATTGTTCTCAGGATGCTGGCCTAGCTAGACTAGCCAGGTTGGCTTGCCTATTTAACTAGGCAAGGGTTTCCTACTCTGATCAAATTTATTATAAGGATATGAATGTATTTTACATTCAGAGTATTTTTCTTAGCTTTCTCTTTTATCCAGCCTCAATGAAGCCACACTATCAGATTTGGTCAATAGTGGTGGCTTTCAGCAGATTAAGCAAAATGCATTTAATATTGATAAAAACTTTTTACAGTCATGTCTATCACCAGCTCTGTGCACTAGGTAGAGCTGCTATTTTTGGAAGTTAGACCAATGTCCTCCATTTTCACAATAGCCCACTTGACTGACCAGCAGAGTAGTGACATGTAATAGTGATGAATGGAGAAACTGAGTAAAACTTGTGCAAGCCACTTGTGCTTGTAAAGAAAAAGATGAGAGCTTCACCATTCAGTCCGTGTGCTTTTCTCTCAGTAGTCAGTGTCTAGACAGACTTGTTATGCTGTCTGTGCTAAGGAACTCAAATGCTAAATGATTTGTGCATATTAATAGTCCATCTAGACAGCACACTAGTAGAGTTACCTGCCTCCCGAGGGCATAACACTTATTGGCAAATACTAAGCATTCCACAAGCTTATGTGCTAGAAAATGCATTAAAAGTAGTTGCCTAATGTGTTTTTAAAAAAGTAGGTGTTCTCTATCAATGTAATTTTGATGTGAATAAACGGTAAATAAAGTATCTGACTCCTTAGTCTGTTGTTATTTGAGTAGTTTTCTTTATGGATATACTGACACAGTTAACACTGGATCTGGCAAGCCATGCAGTTTAGCAGATGTTCATAATTGAAAGCTGTATTCAATACTCTAGAGCACTTTATTTTCTCAGTTATAGCTCATACTTTTTAATAAAACATTAAATCTGATACAAGTGGGGAAAAGGAGAAGCATCAACATGGGTTTAAAATCCTAGCTTGTGGGAAAAGTGCTATTGTCAAAATAGGTCTGAAACTTGAATTTGTGTTGGTGCTTTGTTAACACAAGATTTTTAAGCCCATGGATAATGCTCTAATTTGCACTTAAATTTCAACTAACTAATCTGAACTCAGACTGCCTGTATTTTAAGTGGGAACCTCAACTCCTAAATATCTGCTTCCAAAATCTGAGCTGTGTATTTGCTGTCCTGGTGGAAAACAAGCTTGCCAAAGGGAACTTGGGAAGGTATTGTGCTGTTAAGAAGACAAAGCAATCCTGTTCTCCTGTGAGAAGCCCTTGCTCAGTGTTTAAAACTGAACACAGCAAATGAGAACTGAAAGTAGTTGACAGAACACAAGCAAGACTGACAGGGCAGAGCCAGAGGACAAGATGTAAAGAAACACCTTTCACCAGCCTTCCTAACAAAAGAGTGATGGTGAYAGGACGTAGTGGAAATCCCTGAGAAATCAGAACAAAACTGAGGCACCTTGAGTGAGGAAGATTAGTGTGCCCACTACATAATCCTAAACCACAAAATTATAGCCTACCCACTGATGGTTTAATTAGAAAGTGAAAAATCCACAATTTAGTATCTTCGGAGTCTATCACTGCAAGTGAAATCTGCCCTTTATAATATAGTTCTGCATGTGCAGGTCACACTAGCAACAGAAACTTAAAGGAAAAAGGTCAAATATTAAAATCCTTACTGCTTGGGGCAGGATGCTGTCATTAACATAAGAATGATTCTGCAAAATTAGTTCTCAAGTTTGTTGGAATTGTTGGAATTGTTGGAATTGTTGGAATTGTTGGAATTGTTGGAATTGTTGGAATTGTTGGAATTGTTGGAATTGTTGGAATTGTT